CTACAGGGTTGTGACAGAGCCTGTGATTGGCAGAACCTCCCCCAGATATCTTTAGAGCGTGAAAGCTATTGTCAATTAACTTAAACTCTGCCTACACCATGTTATTACAAAAAATAGTAAACATTTCCTTTAAGATATAGATTTGCTATAAGCTTTAAAACACTTTGTTGCCATTATTTATTTTGATTCTTTTTATGCCATGTGACTGGCAGAGCACCAATCAGCAAATTGCAGACACAGATTCATAGTTCAGACATTCTCTGCTGCTATAAAGCATACAGTGCTTTGAAAAAGTATTCATACCCCTTGACATTTTCCACATATTGTCATGTTACAACCAAAAATGTAAATGTATTTTATTGGGATTTTATAGTATATAGAGTCTAGACCAACACAAAGTGGCACATGATTGTGAAGTGGAAGGAAAATGATAAATGGTTTTCAAAATGTTTTACAAATAAATATCTGAAAAGTGTGATATGCATTTGTATGCAGCTCCCTTTATGCTGATACCCTTAACTAAAATTTAGTGGAACCAATTGCCTTCAGAAGTCACCTGATTAGTAAATAGAGTCTACCTGTGTGTAATTTAATTTCAGTGTAAATACAGCTGTTCTGTGAATTCCTCAGTGTTTGTTTAGAGAACATTAGTGAACCAACAGTTTAATGAAGACCAAGGAATACACCAGACAGATCAGGGAAAACATTGTGGAGAAGTTTAAAGCAGGGTTATGTTATAGAAAAAAATATCCCAAGCTTTGAACATCTAACAGAGCACTGTTCAATCCATCATCCGAAAATGGAAAGAGTATGCCACAGCTGCAAATCTACCAAGACATAGACGTCCATCTAAATTGTCAGGCCGGGCAAGGAAAACAATCAGAGAAGCAGCCAAGAGGCCCATGGTAACTCTGGAGGAGTTGCAGAGATCCACAGCTCAGGTGGGAGAATCTGTCCATGGGACAACTATTAGTCCACAAATTTGGCCTTTATGGAAGAGTGGCAAGAAGAAAACCATTGTTGAAAGAAAGCCATAAGATGTCCCATTTGCAGTTTGTGAGAAGCCATGTGGGGAAACAACACGTGGAAGAAGGTGCTTTTGGTCAGATGAGAGCAAAATTTAACTTTTTGGCCTAAAAGCACAATGCTACTTGTGGAGGAAAACTAACACTGATTATCACCCTGAACACACCATCCCCACCGTGAAACATGGTGGTGGCAGCATCATGGTGTGGGGATGCTCTTCTTCAACAGGCACAGAGAAGCTGGTCAGAGTTAATGGGAAGATGGATGAAGTCAAATACAGGGCAATCTTAGAAGAAAACCTCTTAGAGTCTGCAAAAGACTTGAGACTGGGGCAGGATAATGACCCTAAACATACAGCCAGAGCTACAATGGAATGGTTTAGATCAAAGCATATTGATGTGTTGGAATGGCCCAGTCAAAGTCCAGACCTAAATCCAATTGAGAATCTGTGGCAAGACTTGTTTATCCAATCCGACAGCACTTGACCTATTTTGCAAAGAATGGGCAAACATTTCACTCTCGAGATGTGCAAAGCTGGTAGAGACATAACCAAAAGACTTGCAGCTGTAATTGCAGTGAAAGGTGATTCCACAAAGTACTGACTCCAGAGGGCTGAATACAAATGCATGCCATACTTTTCAGATATTTACTGGTAAAAAAAAGTTTGAACACCATTTATCATTTTCCTTCCACTTCACAATTACTGTATAATGTATGGCCAGCCTTAGTCCGTAGGGTTCAATATTGAGATAGCCCACCCTTTGCAGCTATAACAGCTTCAACTCTTCTGGGAAGGTTGTCCACAAGGTTTAGGAGTGTGTCTATGGGAATGTTTGACCATTCTTCCAGAAGCGCATTTGTGAGGTCAGGCACTGATGTCGGATGAGAAGGCCTGGCTCACAGTCTCCACTCTAATTCATCCTAAAGGTGTTCTATCAGGTTGAGGTCAGAGTCTGTGCAAGCCAGTCAAGTTCCTCCTCCCCAAACTCGCTTAGCCATGTCTTTATGGGCCTTGCTTTGTGCACTGGTGTACAGTCATGTTGGAACAAGAAGGGGCCATCCCCAAAGTGTTCCCACAAAGTTGGGAGTATGAAATTGTCAAAAATGTCTTGGTATGCTGATGCTTGAAGAATTCCCTTCACTTGAACTAAGGGGCCAAGCCCAACTCTTAAAAAAACAAATCCACACCCTAATCCCCCCTCCAACAAACACTACATTTGGCACAATGCAGTCAGGTAAGTACCGTTCTCCTAGCAAACCCAGACACGTCCATCGGAGTGCCAGAGAAGCGTGATTCATCACTCCAGAGAACACATCTTCACTACTCTAGAGTCCAGTGATGGCGTGCTTTACACCACTGCATCTGAAGCTTTGCATTGCACTTGCTGATGTAAGGCTTGGATGTAGCTGCTCGGCCATGGAAACCCATTCAATGAAGCTCTCTGCACACTGCTGTTCTGCTAATCTGAAGGCCACATGAAGGTTGGAGGTCTTTAGCTATTGACTCTGCAGACAGTTGATGACTTCTGTGCACTAAAATTTTTTGTGGCTGAGTTGCTGTTCCCAATTGCTTCCACTTTGTTATAATCCCACTAACAGTTGACCGTTGAATATTTAGCAGCAAGGAAATTTGATGGATAGACTTATTGCACAAGTAACAACCTATCACAGTACCATGCTTGAATTCACTAAGCGCCTGAGAGTGACCCATTCTTTCACAAATGTTTGTAAAAGCAGTCTACATGCCTAGGTGCTTGATTTTACAGACCTCGGCCATGGAGGTGATTGGAACACCTGAATTCAATGATTTGGAGAGGTGTTCCAGTACTTTTGGCAATATAGTGTATATTTACTTGCCCAATTCACATAAAAAAAATGAATGGAAGAATGGTACTTTAATATATGTAGCGCTATCTCAAAAGGGGCCGTTGAATCGTTTTGTGATTTCTCTGTATACCTGAAGATAACACACCTCACTCACCCAGCACTTACTGACACACCTTGAAGTATTTCAAAGAGTTTATTAGGCATAGGCTAAAAGAAGAGAGGAATAGCAAGTGTACTTCTACAATCAATAAAGCAATACTTTGAGAGATATAGTTAAACACCTGCAGTATTCAGTAGTTAACAGAATTAAACAACATTTACCTAGCAACAGTATATAAAGACAGTTATATACAACAGTTCCCAGCAGTTAACAGATTAACTTGTGCAATGTTAGTCTCTCACCAGACCCAGGGCACCCTCCTCTGGGTCTCCAGACACAAGCACATTCAGAAAATGTTCAGTTCAAATCAGACCGGAATAAAAGTTGCTGTGACCTCTCTCTTTCAATCCTGCTGAGACAGTACCTCTTTTCTTCTCTGCAAGCAGTGGGCTGGCACATGCATGAGGATTGGAAAAACATCTTGCCTTGTTAAGACCCAAGTACTACAGGCACAAAGATTGCACAAAAACTGACTTCTTGAGATTAAAAGTCCAAAATAATTGCTCCAGGAGCTATATGGATATAAGTATATTCCAGGGTCATAACAGACTACACTCACAGCAGTAGGTTGTTGTCCAGGCCCCAGACTCTCAAGATCTCTCAAAGCCTCAATAAGGTCCCAATAGGAGCTAATAGTGCTGTGAGTACCCAGGAGGCCTTCAAAAAGCCAAAAAGATGATCCACAAGCTGGCAATGTTGTTCCCCGTCACACAAAGTACAGTTACCAAGGCAAAGAAGCAGACTTCATCCTGATTTTGTAAATACTCTGAAACACAGTTAGCTGATTGAGGTCCAGGGTGTACCAAATCTGATCCTTCTCTGTGACAGTGAACAATTTTGAAGCAAAACTTTAAAATATTACGCCAATGTAAATCTGCTAATCATTGAAAAGGATTATTAAGTTTGGGAAGATAAAAACACTCAGAACTAGTGAAGAGGAACACTGTCTAGTATTCTTAAAAAATTAGCTCACAAACCCACTTTCCTGATATATGGGTCAATCAGAAGTCGCAAGGGGAAAAAAAACACATGCCTCCTACCATCTGAAGAAGCACAGAGGTATCAGGAAAGGTCAGGGAAAACATCCATAGGGAATTGGCCTTTAGATAAACACTAGAACCAAAGGAACCTAGAAAGAATTATGGCAACAGGTATCTACTGTGGAAATGTATACATATGTTGCAGACCCTTGATCAGTTGATCTGCTAGGTCAACAAGAAAAACAGATACCTGTTTATGTAAAAAACCCTAATGTAAGGCTTTTTCACTAGTTAAAATCTGTGTGCCAGGGGTGTGGGCAAGACAGGACATACAAGGAGCTGGACATACATAGATCACACCACAGTTTCTGCCTTCCTATCTGTCAGATCCTTGAAGAAGGGATAATCCTCCTCATGAATGATCATGGACACGCTCATCCTGACAATAACCATGTCTATCACTTGAGGGGAATGTTATATGACCAGACAAATTAATTTTCATTGTCCTAAATTTGTATGCAGCTAGGCCCGGAGAGAGCCGAAGGAAAATCTTTGAGTCTAAGCAAAGTTGACTAGCCAATAGCTTGGTTAACCAGAAGGAGATCAGAGGAGGGTGCACCCTCACTGTCAGAGTGTATAAAGTTGCATCCCTGGTTACTGGTTGAACCGCTATAAAAGACCATAGAGCCACAACATTAGAGGCTACAGAGAGAGAGGGTGATTATCATGGGGCTTAGACTGAGTTAGAGCTTAAAGAAAACAAATCAGGGAATAGGAAGCATCCCTAAGAACCACCAAATAAAGTGGATGAAAATAAGGCTCATTTTGTGCCATTATATTACTGCGTCTAAAAACAGGCCTAAGCGATATGGGGAGAAAGGGGTGCAATAGCCAGCAAATATATGAACAGTCCCTGTGCCCATCAGTGCCGCCCACCTGTGCCCAGCAGTGCCACCCACCTGTGCCACCAGTCAGTGCCATCCATCAGTGCTGCCTATCAGTGCCAGCTCATCAGTGCCTCCTATCAGTCCCCATCAGTGCTGCCTATCCATGCCACCTCATCAGTGCCCATCAGTGCTGCCTATCCTTGCCACCTTATCAGTGCCCATCAGTGCAGCCTCATCAATGCACATCAGTGAAGGAGAAAAATTACCTATTTGCAAAATGTTATAATAGAAGCAAAGAAAAATTTTTTTTTTTTCAATTTTTTTGCTCTCTTTTTTGTTTATAACGCAAAAAAACCTCCAGTGGTGAATACCACCAAAAGAAAGCTCTATTTGTGTAAAAAAATAATAAAAATTTCATATGGGTACAGTGTTGCATGACCGTGCAATTGTCAAGTGCGACAGTGCTGAAAGCTGAAAATTGGCCTGGGCAGGAAGGGGGGTAAGTGCCCAGTAGGCAAGTGGTTAAGCCATTTCCCTAAAATATTCTCTCTTGCTGGAAGAAAAAACTCTGTGTCCACCAGAGGCAACAATAATTAATTGTACTTCCAACCCATTGACGTATGCAAACCATCCCAAACTCTCAACACCTCAATGTGCTACTATTTTCGTCTATACCCCAAAGCTTTTGTGGAATCCAAATGATCCTCTCTAATTGTGTGTAACTTAACCACTTGCCGACCGCGCATAGCCGAATGACGGCTTCACCGCGGCCGGCCAGTTCTGAGTGGACGTCATATGACGTCCTCCCAGAACGCGCTCTCCTGCGCGCCCCAGGGGGCGCGCACCCGGCGATCTCCGTGATCGCTGTGTCCTACGGACACAGCTGATCACGAGATGTGGTGAAAGGCCGATCCCACCGGCCTTTTACCACGTGATCAGCGGTGTCCAATGACACGCTGATCACAGGAAAATGCAAGTGCCGGTTCTCGGCTGCACTTTCCTCACGCTGTCAGATCGTGAGGAAAGTACTGCCGAGAACCGGCAGTTGTCAGAGCGGGGATCGGCACCGATCATCAGGGCACTGATGATCAGTGCCCTGATGATCGGTGCCCAGCAGTGACCCCCGCAAGTTCCGATCAGCTGTGCGCCCACTAGCCCCGCCCACCCATTCCCAGCAGTGCCCCCACCTGTGCCCAGCAGTGCCCCCACCTGTGCCCAGCAGTGCCCCCACCTGTGCCCAGCAGTGCCCCCACCTGTGCCACTCTGCAGTGCCACCTACCTGTGCCCAGAGTGCCACCTACCTGTGCCCAGCAGTGCCACCCACCTGTGCCCACCCACCTGTGCCCACCAGCGCCACCCACCTGTGCCCACCCACCAGTGCTGTCCACCAGTGCTGTCCACCAGTGCCACCCACCAGTGCTGCCAGTCAGTGCCACCAGTCAGTGCCCAGGGGTTGTGCCAGTCAGTGCCGCCAGTCAGTGCCCAGAAGTGATGCCAGTCAGTGCCGTCTATCAGTACCCATCATCAGTGTCACCTATCAGTGCCGCCTATCAGTGCTGCATATCAGTGCCGCCTATCCGTGACCCCTAATTAGTGCTGTCTATCAGTGCCGCCTATCCGTGCCACCTCATTAGTACTGCCTATCAGTGCCCTTTAGTGCTGCCTATCAGTGCCCATCAGTGCCGCCTATCAGTGCCCATCAGTGCCGCCTCATCAACGCAAATCAGTGAAGGAGAAAAAATACCTGTTTGAAAAATTTTATAAAAGAAACAAATAAACTTTTTTTTTTTTTTCAAATTTTTTGCACTTTTTTTAATTTATAGCGCAAAAAGTAAAGCGCCCAGTGGCGATTAAATACCACCAAAAGAAAGCTCTATTTGTGAGAAAAAAATGATCAAAATTTCATATGGGTACAATGTTGCATGACCGCGCAATTGTCAATCAAAGTGCGGCAGCGCTGAAAGCTGAAAATTGGCCTGGTAAGGAAGGGGGTATAAGTGCCTGGTAGGCAAGTGGTTAATATACCTTCCATTTTAACCCAACCTTTCTCTTGTGAATTATGTGTCCAATCTACAATCCGTGATAATAACACCGACATGTAATACTTCCCTCATATTTGGCAGATTTAATCCTCCTCTTTGTTGTAACATAAAGTTTCATATTTAATTCTTGGTTTCTTATTAGCCCATATGAATCTCAGTATCAATTTTCTTATTATCCTAAAAAAGATCCAGGTAAATATATTGGGAGCATTTGAAATTTATACAGGGTTTTTGGGACTATTATCATCTTGACCAGATTTATACACCCAATCCATGAGACCCACCCCACTGAGAGTCTTCTCAACTCATCTTTTTAATTTAATTCATTAGTGGGATATAAACTTGATATACCGTATTTTCCGGCGTATAAGACGACCCCCCTACTTTTCCTGTTAAAATGTAGTGTTTGGGCTATACTCGCCGTATAAGACTACTCCTCTTCCAATGCACACCAGTGGGAAGAATCGTGCCCCATCATTAGTATCAGTGGGAGGAATAGTGCCCAGTCATTGGTGTCAGTGGGAGGAATAGCACCCCATCATTGGTGTCAGTGGGAGGAATAGCGTCCCATCATTGGTGTCAGTGGGAGGAATAGCACCCCATCATTGGTGTCAGTGGGAGGAATAGCGTCCCATCATTGGTGTCAGTGGGAGGAATAGCGTCCCATCATTGGTGTCAGTGGGAGGAATAGCACCCCATCATTGGTGTCAGTGGGAGGAATAGCGTCCCATCATTGGTGTCAGTGGGAGGAATAGCACCCCATCATTGGTGTGAGTGGGAGGAATAGTGTCCCATCATTGGTGTCAGTGGGAGGAATAGCACCCCATCATTGGTGTCAGTGGGAGGAATAGCACCCCATCATTGGCGTCAGTGGGAGGAATAGCACCCCATCATTGGCGTCAGTGTGAGGAAGTGGGAGGAATCGTGCCCCATCATTGGTGTCAGTGGGGGGTGGAATAGTGCCCCATCATGGTGTCAGTCAGTGGGGGGGGGAATAGTGTCCCATCGTTGGTGTCAGTGGGGGGGGGGAAAAGTGCCCCATCGTCGGTGTCAGTGGGAGGAATAATGCCCCATCATTGGTATCAGTGACACCAATGATGGGGCACTATTCCTCCCACTGACACTTGCTGACCCCTGTCCAGTATGGTGCTGCTGCAGCAAGCATATATGGTTGCAGCAGCACCTGTGCACGGCACATTTACCTTCACTTGATTTTCGCGGGGGCCGCTCGGCTCCGCCTCCTCCCCGGTGATTGGCCGCCTGTGTGCCTTTCCTGAGCTACAGTTCTGGCGGCCAATCACCGGTGAGGAGGCGGAGCCGAGCAGCCGCACGAACATCCAGTGGCCGAACTGAAGGAAGGAGCAGCCGCGCTTCCTGGATCGGATCGTCGTGGGACCGGAGCCAGGTAAGAAACAGAAGCCCCTGCCCACCCCTGTACTTAGTTTCACTTCCGTTGGAAGGGGGGGGGGGGGGCGGCGGCGGCACCGCACCGCCCCCCTAAAAAGTGTCAGCATGCCGTATACCGGCGTATAAGACGACCCCCGACTTTTGAGAAGATTTTCAAGGGTCAAAAAGTCGTCTTATACGCCGGAAAATACGGCAAGTTATTTATTGAGGATGTTAACTTTATTCCCAAATAGCCTAATTCTTTTTACCTCCATGTAAATGGAAACTCTTCTTGCAGGATCATCCTCTTGGCCTTTGACACGTTAATATTTAAGATCTCAGATTTTGTGGAGTTTATGTTCAGATTTCATAACTCTCCATAGTGTTTTAATAATGCCATTAAGTTAGGCAATGTCAATCAAGGATTCACAATGTAAAACAGCATATCATCTGCGTACGCTGCTACCTTATGTTCTACTTCTCCCATCTTAATTCCTTTAATAACTGTGCTCTTTCTTACCAACGCCAAAAGTGATTCCAGGAATAACACTAATAGCAACAGGGATAATGGACATCCCTGTCTAGTTCCATTATACATTCTAAAGGTCCCTGACAGGGACCCATTGACCTTCACAGCTGCTGAAGGGCCATTATAAAGCCCTTTTATCCACCTCACCATTTTTTCCCCTACTTCTACTGCCTCTAGCGTATTTATGATAAATCCGCAATCTACCCTATCAAAGGCTTTTTCTGCGTCAATCGACAGTATAATTGTCAGCTGCCTGTCTCTTTTTGCAAAAGGAGCCGTGATCTTAAACCATTGTCTCTTTCTTCCCTTCCTAGGATAAATCCCACTTGATCTAGGTGTATCCACTCCAGCATAACCTCTTTCATCCTGGCAGATAGCACTTTCGTGAACAGTTTAGTATCAGTATTTAATAGTGATATAGGTCTATAACTAGTGCATTGTGAACTCTCTTTTCCCTCTTTAAGAATAAATGTTATATATGCGTGCAATGATTTTTCTCTCATTTCCGTTCCCAACGCATTCATATATCTACAAAGTCTAGGGAACAATAACTCTTTAAATCTTTTATAATACCCCACCATATAACCATCAGGGCCAGGGCTCTTTCCTCCTGCTGAACTCTTCAGGGCCACTTCATCCTGGGAAATTACTCGTTCTAGGAATGCTAATTTATCTTCTGCAATTCTTGGTAAGTCTGCCACTTTTAAGAATTCTTGCCTTTTCCTCCTCTTCTCTTCCTCTGTTGCTTTTTGATTTATAGGGTTCACCTCATAAAGCCTACTATAAAACTTTTGAAACATTAGCAATACCAGTGGTAGAGTAGATCAATTCCTTGTCGTCATCCTTAATTTTTTCTATATCATTTTTTTATTTATTTTCCTTCAATCTTTTCATCATATATTTTCCTGGTCTATTCCCACACTGGTATCTTTCCTTTGAGACTCTATTAAAGACTTTCCTCATTTCCTGTTTTAATAGGTCCTTCAGTTCTTCTCTTTTAAGGGTAATCTTCCAGTGCAAATCTATATCCTGCTTTTTTATGTGCCTGTTCTAGTTTATATAACTCTTCAATTACCCCCTTTAATTGCCTCTCTCGTTCTCTCTTTTTTTTTTGTCCCTGTGGCAGTCAAGATTCCCCTCATATAGGCTTTATGTGCCTCCCATATAGTAGCCACCGATAATTCCTCGGTTTCATTCAGAGCAAAAAATTGCTCCAACTCCTCCTCTAGCCTCTTCTCTTGTTCAGGGTCTTGTATAAGTGTCTCATTTAGTCTCCACATAGCCCTCATATTTCCTTTGCCTCCCAACCATAGTCTCACCATGACAGGGGCATGATTCGAGATAGACATAACCTCTTTGTCAGATTTAACCAGGGATTCCAGCTTCTGTGCTCTATTAATGCATAGTCCAATCGGGAATATGATCTGTGGGCAGAAGAGAAGTAGGTATAATCTTTTTCTCTGGGATGTTTACTCTCCAAGTGTCTATTATTTGATTTTGATTAAACCACCTTTTAAGCCTTCTTAATTTTTTTTACATTACTCCCTGTGCGCACTTGAGGACGCATCCATGGGTCCAAACAACAATTGAAATCTCCTGCCACAATCAGTCTACCCATCTTAAATTCCATAATTTTCCCAAGCACATCTAGAAGGAAAACCTCTAGATTTTTATTTGGGCAATAAATATTTACCACTGTGTATATTTGTCCCTGCACCCCATGCATTTTCCCTTTTGGATCTTCTAGTTTTTCCTCAACCTCAAAACCTATATTTTTTGCAAATCCAATTGCGATTCCTTTTAGCCTTGTTCATTGGTGAATCCACGTAATCCCAGGTTGGATGGTACCTCAAATATAACTTAACGTTGGTATCATAAGAAAGATGTGTCTCTTCTAAAAAATACCACTCATGGACAGCAACCCTACCCCACATTCTCCTCCCCCATCCCTCACCCACCCCACCCATAAGAACCCCCTGGCCTATATATTAACCTGGAATCTGACGTGGGACTCCCCACTAGTGATTCCTAATTTGGGGTATGGCTCTGAGCATGCACACCAATCCTGCCCCCCTGTTCTCAACATGGGGCTTCCCTTTCCTTTTTCCTCTACTTCATGACCTGATAGGCCTCCAGACACCCCACCATTACTAAAATATCTTACTCGAGCAACTTCTAGGGAGCCAGAAGGAGAACAAAGGGGAAGGTAGATGAAGGGAGGAAAGGAGAGGAGAGGAAAAAAAAAAAAAAAAAAAAGAAGAAGGGGGGGGGGAACCTCACTTAGCATGGGAGACCTAAAGACAATGCTACAAATTGGCTTCCCCTTCCTCATCCCTCCTCTCCCCCCCGACCCCACCTCCAGCTACCTTCTTCTTTTATTAACTTGCTGTCATTTCTCATTTCTTAACTCCGTTCTCTCATTAGAACCCTCTGACCACTCCACTATATCAACATTCTGCAGTTCCAATTTTTCACAAAAGTCTTAGTTCCTCTGGAAATCTCAATCTTGCTGATTTCCTATATTTCCACCCAATCAAACACGCCGGGAACCCCCAATTGTACCAAACTCTTTTCTCTCTCATCTGATCTAATAACGGTTTCAATGCTCTTCTTCTGCTGGATAGTCTTGGAAGCTACATCCGCAAACACCTGAAAATTCTTTTCTCTGAATTTTATTCCAGAAATCTCACGCAAAAGTCTGTATACCTTTAGTTCTTAGTACTGTGTATTGCCCC